AAGTGCACACAGGTAATGTTGCACCAGTGCATCAGGAAGATGTCATGAAACCTGGAACTTGAGTTAAGGTAAAATGAACAGAAAATGTTTGTACCAATAAAGACAATAATACACCAAAGTGGAAGAAAATGGGACTGGGCAGATCTAAAGCTCTAAGTGTGGAAATGTTACACTGGTCTCAATAGTATTACAATTGACATGTGGCAATACAAGTTAAAAGCAGAAAACAAAGCAGTTTGAGGACTATTACAATACTATTACCCCATTAAAACAACCAATATACTATCATCTTGAAAATTTCTATAGTAATATTTTTTCAAAAATTAAAATTGATAGATTAATGCCTTCCCTCAACAATGTAATGCAAAATGCCAGAGCTTAAAAAATAGTTTTATATTTTGTGGGCAACTTTGTTGAGAATGCTTATGTTCCTCTCATAAATAGTACTCCTAGGTTTTAAAATTATGTGAGAAGAAAATGATTATTCTATCCTAAAATTTTCATCATGATAACACCAAGCATTGCATTAGAAACAAAATTGAATTGAGGAAAATTAGGTTTAAATTTATGGGAGTAATAACTGAGCTCAGTAAGTATTCACCACAGTTTAACATTTAGATGATTGTTGCAAGTACCAGGAAAGATCCCAACGCAGGTATTTGCTCAAATGGACCATACACAATTTTGAAGGAGACACGTTGTGAAGACAAGTAGAGAGGAAGGCAGGAACTACTTCTCAAACACAGAGTGATGTTTTACAAATGATAAATTGCCTTTAATCAAATAATGATTTATGGTGTAGACATCATCCTTCATTGGGCTTTAAAGATTTCAGATTAGAAGCAACAGTCTAGGTGCATCCATTTTATTATCAAATCATTAGTTTATAATAAAATTAGTTCAGTAAGGTTTCTTTCAGTATAGTCTTTAATAAATAATAAAAGTAGTTGATGTATTGTGCAATTATTACTTCATTCTTCAAATGGTTTATGTCCTGAATATATTTATTAATTTCAAGGAAACTGTTCTATAACAGGATAAAGGCCAAAGTTTATTCTTTTAAAAAATAAAGAAATTTCAATTATCATGCATGAACACAGACTGAATTCTGATTAAATTTGCTTACTTTTTAAAATTTCTCATAGAGACATGCAAGTGAATTACCTTTGAGAACAAGATTTATACTGCATTTTCACAGAGCCCGAGGAGACACATAACATTTCACTAGATTACCTAATTATCAGAAAATTACCACCAACAGAATAAATGGTAGAATTTCACTTCTACTAACAAAGATGTGTTTTTATCTCTGAAATGCCACAGATTGGTTTTTAAAAAGCAATTACTTGTCATTTCTACTGCATAGGTTGTAGCATTCAACTTATTTTAAATGACAGATTTTTCTAAGGGTTAGAAAATTAGTTGCTAAATGGGTCGCAGCTTTTGAAAACAATCCATATTTTTTGTTACCAATATTCTCAATTAGTAGGAAAAGGCAGAGGACTTCTATGCCTTAAACTCTGATCTGTTGGAATTTAAATTTTGCCTGCCCATGTGTATTTATAGTTGCATTAACATGCAATATGACCACTCTCTAACTGACCAAAAGACACATCGTTTCCTTGATTACACAATGCCCTGACTGATACACTGAATTATAATATAGCAAATCATGCAGATTTATAGTCAAAATAACATTTCCCCTTGTCTTCAAAATGCTTCTAATTATATTTCATATTCTTCAGGCATATGTAAATTTTCAGTTTGTATTGAAACTTTTTTTAAGTTGTTATTTCTGCGTGAAGTCAGAATATGGTGTAAGTGCTGAAATCATACTGCCCCTGAAATTCACTCAGTCACGCCATCTCTGTTGGCTGGTCACATTTTATCGATCCTTGAAACTGCATCACGGCTTTGTTTTGAGTTGCGTGATTCTGTTAAGCCAAAGCTGCTGTCGAGGAAGAGTTCGCAAGCTGGAGAGGCCGTAGGGTTCACGGACCCAGTACATCCAAGAACCTCACTCCAGCATCTTTTCTGCTGTTCTTTGCAAATGACTTTTTTAAGTGTTTATTTCTACTGTACCTTTACTACCAGATTTAAAGAAAAAGAAAAACCCATTTTGGCTATCTTGAACCTAACTATTCTTTCTCTCTGCTCCAGAACCATCAGTGATTTAATTGTTTTGCTCTCTCTGCACCAGATGCCTCAGCGAGGCTGCTGTAAACTGACTACCTCAGCTCTTCCTTTCTGTTTCCTGCCATCTGTAATTCAGTCCTTTGATGAACTTCTACCAAGAATTCACACCAGTGCTCCTGGGCTGCTCAGGCTTCTCTGGGCTGTCTCCCCACACACTCCTCTGCTCCCTGGCCCATTCTGGGTTGCCTGCCTCCATACTGTAGCCTCTGGATTATAAACCACCTTCTTGTGAGACTCGTCTTCTGGCCTGGCTAGCATCGGGTTCCTGTGTGTGTACATTGCCACAGCCTGTCCCAAGAGATGAAGCAATCTACAAGATGAGGACATGATCTTATTCATCACGGTTTTTCTGGTATATAACACAGGAAATGCCAGTGTGCAGTAAGTCAAGAAATAGTAGCATTTGAATAAATAAATGGAGAAGAGCAGAGGGAGATGAGTTAATACACACATATACAAATACACACATACACAGTACACACACACACACACACACACACACACACACACTCTCGCATGTAGTAAGCACACAGATTACCATTGCATACCAAATGCAAGAAACCCATTTGCAATAACAAAATTGCAATTTATCCTACTCTAGAGTTGTATTGGCTATATTATTTTTAATATTCTTTCTATATATATATTAATATGTCACTACAAAAAGATTTATTTTAACCAAAGGGAAATACAATGCTGTTTTTCACTTCACTTTACATAATTATTTAAATGGACTAAAACAACAGATCAACACTAATAACAAACTACCCAAGCCTTCAAACCAACTGACTTCCTTACTCTTTCGCCTACTTTTGGCCAATTTTCCTCTGTAAATGATTCATTTTTTTTAATCATAAAGTTCATGTGTGAGAACTTATCTCCCGGTCCTTTGTAGGAAGAGAGTCATTCTCAAGTCAGATAAAATATCTGCAAAGAACAGTAAGTGCACCTCCCATTGTCGTGACCAGAAAGCTAGCATTTTCTGTTCCCATTTCACTTTTGTAAGGAAAAAAATATAACTTTCCTCTAAGCCACAAGTCGTACTCTGAAAGTCTCAGTATTTCACAGCAGTTATCTGGAGGCTATGAAAAGAAATCTAGACACTAACCCAGCCACAAAACGCTCCACCTACAATCTTTCCTGCCTACAAGATACGCTGGGGCAATGATGGCACAGAACATGTGGCAGTCGTCAACCAGGGTTTTGTGTAACTTGAGGCCCACCCCACAAGATGCAGTCCATGCCCTACAACTGCCTGGATGGCCAGAAACCGGAGACCAGATAGTCCAGAGACCTAGGTTGGGCTCCTTGTCCAGTCGTCATTAGAGAGGCTTCCTCCAGCAGCGGACATTGTGCAGAGTGTTTAAATTGGAGGTCGCTCTCCTTGGAGACTGGGAACCCATAGGAGACAAGAAGGAAAGATTGTAAGAGTCAATGGGGATGGAGGACTCTGGGAGAACCTGGCCCACCAAATCGACTACGCAGGCCTCATATGGGCTCAAAGAGACGGAAGTGGCAAACACGAGCCCGCATGGGTCTTTACCCGGTCCTCCGTGTGTATGTTAGGGCTGTTAGCTTGGTGTTCTTGTGAGACTCCTAGCAGTGAGAGCAGATGTGTCTCTGACTCTTTTGCCTGCTCCTGAGACTTTTCTCCACCTATATGGTGGGTTGCCTTGTCCAGCCTTGATAAGAGGGCTTTTGCCTTGTCTTATTGTATCATGGTTTGTCCTGTTTGGTTGTTACCTATTGGAGGCCTGCACTTTTCTGAAGAGGAAGCAGAGCGGGAGTGAATCTTGGGGAGAGAAGAAGTGGCTAGGAAGAGTGGAGGGAGAGGAAACTGTGGTTGGGATATATTGTATGAGAGAAGAATCTGTTTCAACCTCTGAGAAAAAACCAGGGGCAGCAGCAGTAGCCAATAACAGCTTGGGAGTCTTTTGAACTCCTCTGGCCAGCAGCTTATAAGGAGGCTTCTCATTTCTGCTTTTGGGGTTTTAAAATATGTGTGTGTCCCTGTGTGCATGGGGTATTTGTGCACATGAGTGCAGTGTCTTCTTTGGCCAGAAGAGGGCGCTAGATACCCTGGAGCTGGAGTTACAGAGAGGAGCTCCGAAACAAACTTGAGTCCTTTACAGGAGCTCTTAACTGCTGAGTAGCAGTCTCTGTAGTCTCAATTTATCTTCTTGGCTGTTTTTTGTTTGATTTTTTTTTTGCAACCAGTAATAAAGAATATATATAATTACAAGGTTTTGAAGAGCCAGCACCTTCCTGTGAAGCTACTTTAAAATCAATGTGAAGACCCAGAAGTTTCATTTTAAAGAAACCCGAAATAGAAAAGCTACTGCAGGCCAGATGTGTCATTCATTAATATGCATGTCTTCTAACCCTTAGTGCATCTGACAGATTGTAGTCACAGCTTCCTTATTTGGAGAAGCTGGCCCAGATACCTACAACAACCTTTCTATCACTCCAGGTTAAAGAGAACTCCTGGATGCCATGCAATTCCACAAGGCAAGCAAATTTGCATGCTTCCTAGCCTTGAGGATCTTGCCTGGATGAAGGAAGGCAGCCTATATCATGGAGGAGGGAACCTACTAAAACTTTTGAAGTACCAGTAGTTACGAGTTGCTATGTGTGAATGTATATCAAAGGGTGTGGGTTTTCTGACTTCAGAAAGGAAACATAGCCATCTGTGGTGCTTACGAACATAAGAGCTACATTATGCATATATTGTATGCACCCACAATGAGATTTTTTTTCCAGGAAAATAACTGTGGGTTAGAGGAAAATTAGTTTTAAATGAAGCA